ACAGATTGTCTAAGCTCCTATTGACTACCTTGGTCTGTCCATCAGTTTGTGGATGAAAGGCTGTAGAGAATTGCTGATGTAGGCAAGGGGGCGGGTCAAAACATTTTGGGTTTTTAACTTTTGTTAAGCTTCTAAAATCAGCTCATAAATGCTTAGTTTCTACTCTTTCACCTCATAAATCTAAAATTAATTGAAGATTTATTTGGTGCTTCCCCCTAGCTTTTGGCCCTTTGATTTCCTCCCCTTGGTTCATTTCCCCTCTCCCTGTGTCTCTTTGATTTTTCCCCTGCTGGCTCTCCTTCCCGTGGGATGTTCCAGTTCCATGGATGCTGTCCCGATTCCCCTTTGTGCCCCCTCGGATTCTTCCCTGGTTGGTTGTCCTGTGGCTGCTTTTCTTGGGTTCTGTGTGGCCTTTTCAGCTGTTGTTTTGGAATGATTTATGAATTGTTTCTGGACAGAAATCTGGACTGAACTATTGGACTTCCATTTCCCCCTTTTAATAGGTTTAATTGGAGATAATTGGGGATGTTTGGCTGCCCTCTTTTCTTCTATAAATATAAGGTGTTTTGTATGTTTTAAAAAATGTTATAATGGTATTTTTGGATCAAAAAACCTGAAGGTTTTTCTTTCTTCTTTGAAAAAGCTTGCGAGCTTGTTTCATTCTTCTTCCCTTCTTCTAGGAAAGCTTGCGAGCTTTTCCTCTCCTTCATCTCGACTTCTTACTTCTTTCTTCTCTCCGCAAGTGACCACTCCAATTGTATCTTTCTTTTCAATCAATCAAAGAATGCAAGTTTAGGTGAATGTTTATTTTTGTGTTTATTGTCAAAGTTTGTAGGAGTCTTTTATATTATAAAAGTGATGATGTGTCTTCGTTTAATGGTTGTATTTTATTAATTTTGTGATATTTTGGAAGGTGTCCTAGTTTGTTTGTAATTGTTATTTTCTATTTCCTAGAAAGAGTTTCTCTTGCTTGCAAAAATTAGGGGCTTTTCCTAATTTTTGCATGCATCAATTGCAATTTAGTGTCTATTTTCATCTAAAGGGTTTCCAAAAATAGCTAGTGAATTTCACATCCCTATCCAATACAATGGTTTTGGGTAAACCATGTAAATAGACGACCTCGTTGAAATAGATTTTGACAATGTGAGAGGCGTCGAATGTTTTGGAGCAAGGTAGAAAATTAGCCATTTTGAAAAATCGATCTACTACAACACAAATGGCGTCATTCCTACGGATAGTTTTAGGCAAGCCTAAGATAAAATCCATGCTAACATCCTGCCAAGGGCAACTAAGGATAGGCAAAGGGGTGTACAGACCAGTATTTTGTTTATGTTGTTTGGCCAGCTGGCATGTGTGGCACCTGCTAACCATCCTACTAACATCTCTCTTCAAGCTGGGCCAGTAAAAATGATACTCCACAACTTCTATCATTTTTTCTCGGCCGAAGTGCCCAGCGAGGCCTCCTGCGTGTAATTTTAAGATAAGAAATTCCCTAAGGGAGGTGCTAGGGATGTAAAGCTTTTGGGCTTTGAAAAGATAACCATCCTCCAAAAGAAAATCGTCCACAGGCATGTGGTGCCTGTGGACAAGAGAGAGTTGGTCTACTCCAAGTCGGGGCAGTCAAAATAGTCCGTCCTTATTTGGTCAAAACACATGACTTCAGCCCTCATCTCAGTGGTAGTCATCATACGACGATTGAGAGCATCAGCAGCTTTATTCTCAACTCCCGCCTTATGTCTAAGGGTATAAGTGTACTCCTGAAGGAATTCTACCCATCGACCATGACGTGCATTCAAATTCTTTTGGGAGTTAATATATCGCAGAGCCTCATGATCCGAGAAAATGACGAACTCTTACGGGAGCAAGTAGTGTCGCCAATAACGAAGAGATTGGATCACAGTGTAAAACTCTTTGTCATACGTGGAATATTGTTGACATTGATCACTGCGTAAAACTCTTTGTCATATGTGGAATTTTGCTGTCGAATGTCATTTAGCTTCTCACTGAAATAAACTACTGTGTGACCTTCCTGGGATAGGACTACTCCAATTCTGACCCCTGAAGTGTCGTAGATCACTTTGAAGACTTTGGAGAAATCATAAAGTCGCATCACTGGGGCTTCCACCATTCTTTTCTTAATCTCATCAAAAGCTCTAGTGGCGATCGGGGTCCAGTGGAAATCACCCTTCTTCAGACAGTCGGTGATAGGAGATACAATGGTACTGAAATTCCGGATAAATCTCTATAGAAGGTGGCTAGTCCGTGGAAGTTGCGGACTTCCCGGATGTTTTGAGGAACAGGCCATTCAACAATGGCCCTCACCTTCTCAAAGTCTGCAAAGACCCCTTGGGCTGACATAATAAAACTCAAAAAGATAACACGATCTACAAGGAAGGTACATTTCTTAGGATTGGCATAAAGTTGTTCCTTCCTTAAAACCTCGCATACTGACTATAAATAAGAATGTAGTCAAAATAGACGATGACCAACTTTCCCATAAAATGGCGCAGCACTTGCGTCATGATCCTAATGAAAGTACTCAGGGCGTTACTCAACCTGAAAGGCATGACTAACCACTCGTAGATACCATCCTTGGTCTTGAAGGCAGTTTTCCACTCGTCACCGGGTCGGATCCAGATCAGGTGGTATCCACTTTTGAGATCGATATTGGAAAATAAAGTGGCACCAGTCATCATATCATATCGTCCAGTCTCGGAATAGGGAAACAATATTTGACGGTGATTTTGTTGATAGCACGGCTATCAACACACATTCAACAAGATCTGTCCTTCTTGGGAGTAAGAAGAGCGGGCACCGCGTAGGGACTAAGACTCTCCTTAATGAAACCTCACTACAATAACTCGTCTACCTGCTTCTTAAGTTAAGCATGTTCCGTAGGGTTCATGCAATAGTGTGGCAGGTTAGGGAGAAGCTCCAGGGACAAAGTTTATGGCATGTTGAATGTCTCTAAGTGGAGGTAATTGATCTGGGAGATCATTGGGGAAGACATCAACAAACTGTCCCATAATGGGTTGGACTTCCTGAGGAATAGGTTTGTCAGATTCGGTGGAAATCTCACAACCAACTAAGGCGTAAAGAGGTGCGCCTTGAGCGATCTCAGAATCCAAAACCTTAGCGGTGATCAGGTTCAATCCTTTCTTAGACTTAACAGGGTTGCATTTGGAGTCATCCTTAACCCGGGGTTGCGATGGCAAAAGCTTAATCTTTTGACCAGCATGTTCGAACATGCAGGTGTTCGAACGCCCATAGATGTGGACATCGTTATCAAAAATCCAGGGGCGACCCAAAAGAATTTGTCCAACATCCATAATCAACACATCGCACCAAACATTCTCCTTATACTCAACGAATGAGATAGGTACGATGCATCATTCTTTCACCTCCAAGGTAGTGTAGTTGACCCACGCTATCTTATACGGGTTGGGGTGAGGAACGACAAAGAAAGACCCAACTTGGATATCATACTGGAGGATACAGTATTTATGCAACTACCACTATCCATGATGACCTTACAGTTCTTATTCATGATCTTGGTGTAGGTGTGAAAAATCGTCGTCCTATGCCAATCATCAGTGGGAGTAAGGTGTAATTAGGGGTGTCAATTTCGGGTCACGGGTCGGGTTCGGGTCGAACCCGGAACTGACCCGGGTTCAATCGGGTCGACCCTAACCCGACCAGGATAGGCAAACGGGTCAAAATCCTAGACCCGACCCCGACCCGCTTCGGGTTCGGGTCAACCCGACACGACCCAGCCCTAGGTGTAATGGCGTGCATCTCACCACGCAGATGAGAGAGGTATCCAATTTCTGAAGGCAATGGAGGACAGCAGTGTCATCATCCTCCTCGAAGAATCCTTTACTTAGTAGACCTGATCAACCTCGGGCTCGAGATTGTCCTCAGTGATCTCCTCAATGATCGAAACTTTATAGGGAATGGAGCATTGAGAAGCACTATGCCCATACCCCTTGCATCGAAAGCACTTGGTCCCGAGACTGGACCGAGGGGTATCCGTGGTGGGAGGTTTACTCTTAAAATCAGGTCGAGGTGCAAGAGGACCAATGGGTGGTCGGTTAGTGCTCCCTGGGGCCGGTCGGGCAGTAGGAGTGTGAGAAGTGGAGATATCGGAAGGTCTACAGTCGTGGGATCGACTCAGGTGTTGGGAACGGGTCTCCTCTAAATCTAGCACTAAGCTGTAGGCGTTCTCAAGGGTAGTGACGTTCCGGGCAAACAATTCGTTGTGAAGATCCTCTCGCAACCCGGTACAAAACATAGACAAGATCTGCACAGGGGTAGTGGAGGTTTCCCATTTGTAGCGAATCAGGTAATCATCGAAGGACGCGATGTACTCCTTAACTGGTTTGTTGCCTTGACTCAACCTATTCCACCTATCCAACAACCTAGGGAAGTACGAAGGAGGCAAGTACTTCTGCTTAAGTTCCCGCTTCATGGATGGCCAATCAGTGATGGGATAATCATTCCTAGCTTCTCTAAAGCTCTCTAGATTGGACTAAAATTGACTCGACATACCCATGAGTTTCATCTCAACAAAACTAACCTTCCTAGCCTCGGAGATATTATACCACTTAAAGAAATTGTCCATGCATTTGACCCAGTCCAGGAAGAGCTGGGAATCGAGTGTGCCATCAAATGTAGGAGCATCGACTTTAATGTTTTTCATAAGTTGTATGTCAAGGTCGTGGTGTGGGTTGTGTCCATGTTGAGGAGCTTGATGATTGGCACGATGAAACATTAGTTTACTGTTATTACGCTTAAATCAAGTTTTATAAATTTTTAAAGGAATTCCTATTTGTTTCACATCACCTACATTATTTTGAGTGTTATACATTTATCGTCAGATAGTAAGTCATCAACAATTAAATGATCTAATTCATCATCAATACTTCTTTACTTATGTAATTTGAGGTATTTATCCTTTATTTAAAAAAAAAAAAACATAACATAAACCAGCTTGTTTATACATCTTGTAGCCAACCAATTCCTCTATTAGTATGAAATTTGCTAAAAGTGCTCAAGTTATGCTCACATGCAGAAGCCCAACAGGTTAGGATAAAAACTTTAATTACAAAAGCTTTAAATTCATGAACACTTTCTCCAAATTGAGCCCACCAACATTCTATATGGAATAAAAAAAATAAATTATAAATATATATTAAAATAGAAAGCTAAAAAATAAATATTTAAATTTAAATATAAATGCTACAACTTTAACAAAAGAATATGTTTTGTAACATGCTTGAGCTACTCTAAATACAAACATTTCATTCTTTAAATAAAAATCATCAAGTTGATCACTTGCTTTGAGATATTATTTTTAGAAACAAGTCTATCCATACATGTATATAAATAATTTTAACCTTTTTATCTACATGAAAATCATTATCATAATAAAATTAGAGGTTCAAGTAATATGCAGCAGCATATAAGTGTTGGTGTAACTTATCATAATGAAATCAAAGGTTCAAGTAATATGTAAAAGCATATAAATGTTGGTGTAACTGACCATCCCAAATTTCATCTATAATTTATCAAATTTTTATAAGCATTTTCTTGTTCTTCTAAATCTTTTGTTATGTCCTAGTTAGCTTTATTCATAGCTTCGCTGATAAATCTCATTGTCGTGGTCTTCTCACCATCAATCATTATTATTACATTAACTAAAGATCTCGCTATCTTCAAAGTATAATTTACCCTACAAAAAGAATATTTTTTCATAACAATCTTCTTTACTTATTTCACTTACTATTTTTTTTCCCAAGTACATTTATCTCATTCTTAAGAAGCAAAAATTGATTCTAGAGACTATCATAACTTTAATATATCGTTGCCAGGACCCAATTTCTAGATGAGAAAAATGGAGGGTTACATTAGGTAGTCAACAGTCAGCGTAAAATTTGTCAAATAATCATGACATGAATCCTTTAAAAGACTATTATAACTCCTTAAATATTTGCAAAATTAAAAATACAATGGCAAATCTAGTGACTAAAGGCCGAATAATTTCTTTATTGGTAAACTTCTTCATCAAACTATGCACCAAAGAGTGATTATAAATGAAATTATTTACTATTTTTCCTTTAACAAAACAGATTTGTATTGTGGCAACTATCCTAATCTCTTAAGCAATAAATTAATATAGTGAGTAGCATATGGAGTCCAATAAAAGTGATTTCTCTTCTCCATTAATAGTCTCGCTGCACTTTATAGGCACTTATAACAACTTGAACAACTAATGTCTTTACCACTTTCTCAACAATTTCATCTAACATTTGAAACAACAGTTATGTATCCTTCGTAAAGGTTGAAGCATCAATAAACTTTAGAAATACAATATCATAAGAATTGTTAACAAGGAAGTTGATGATGCTCCTTTGTCGAATATTTGACTAGACATCTAACGTTGTGATCACTCATATCTCAACCCAAATCTCCTTCACTTCATCAATCATCCTTGTCATTGTCATGACCTCCTCATCTAATATATAAATCCTTAACTCATACATACTAGGAAGCTCTAGGCCTCAACCATAACTCCCAAAAGATAAAGCATGATGATCCATAATGGATTCCTAATATCGTTAAATAGAAACACCTAACAATGTCTAAACATACTCTACTCTTGAGTTCATTTGTAACAGTTAGAGGAGGAATAGTTTTAGACTTAACATTCTCCTCTTCATCAACATTCAAAACAAATCTATCAATCGATTCCAAAGTTCTCTTACTAGAAGACACCAAATGGCATCCACTACTAGATCCATCATATTGGGAATCAAAATACAAGCTATTCACAATCATTTCCTTGATATTTCATTGTGTTGCTTCTTTGGCAATAGCATACTTCTTTTAATAGTCAATAAATTCTTTTTTCACTTCATCAGACACATTCATACATAGTCCAATGTTGGCAATGCATGCAAGCCTAGTGATCTTTAAGCCTCTTAATACATCCAATAATCCGCTTCTCACAAAAATTGCATTTCATGTGAACATACACCTTTGCACCTTCACCTAGCACTTCAACTTGATGTTCATATTTCTAAGCGGATATTTCTTCTTCTCAACAAGTTATGCATGATCAACATATACAACATAGTCTAACATGGGGAGTTGAATATAATCCTAAATGTGTGATCAACACACTTTCATCTATAATAACCCATCAATTTTTGGCCAATGGCTTTTCATCTATAGCAATCTAATGAACTATAGATAACACCTTTCTATCCATAATAATATGTTGACGACACCTTCCTATTTATGTTGTGTAGTTAATTCTGAATTTAGAGTTAAATATCAATTTCTCGGTTTATTTCTTTCATAAATGGTTGTTCCTCTGCTTATTTATGTATAGCTTACACTAATTTTTTATTACCCAAAATAAGAGAATAAAATTCAATCAAAAAATCATTTCTTTTCTACTCTACTCTTTTCCCATTCTAATTTTTAAGACTTTGATTAAAAATTAATTTATTATAACATTTTGCAAAAAAAAAAATACTTATTTTCTCCCAAACCTAGGAAAAACAATAAACATAGGAGCTAACCCGGTTTGATCCATGCTTTAATTTTTCATTTCTTTCATAATAACTCTAGTTGATTAGAAATGTAACTTATGCAAATAGAATATTCTAAGTTACCTCAATATTGAAAATCCATAATAAGCATCTCTAATAGTAAAACAAAAGGATGGGACTAATGGTTGATCTAGAAATAATCTTACTATAATGGGGAGGAACTCCTAGGTTATTTCCTTACTACTTATAATATTACTGAGTGATTATATATCACTTTAATAATTTCACATACTTTTGACAAAGGTTTTTCTTGATATAAGCTAACAAGTTATTATGATATTTAATGATATATCATCCAAGATTAATAAACCGTAGAAAGTTTTTTCTTTCTTTCTTTCTTTTTTTGCAAACTATATATTTCCATGAATTGCTTTAACACAAAAAACATCTACAAGTTAGATCTTTTTGACACAAATCCACATGAACTCTCCAAAACTGATAAGATATTTCTAAACCTCTATTTAATTATCTCGTATAATTATAATTGGGTAACTTATAATAATGATTACCCTATAATTCAGATCCCCTTTATTTAAATGCTAGTATCAAAATGATTATTCTCTAATGATTTAACATCATCTTAATCTTTAAGATTCATTAAAAAGATTAATCAATAAATATATATAACCAAATCATTCTAATATTTCAAATATTTCGTCTAACTTTTCATATCTCTATATTTATCTTATTTGTACCGAAACTTTTACATTTAT